TTTGTTGCCCAGGTTGGAGTGCAGTGGCATAATCTCTGCTCACTGCAACCTCCACCTCTGGGGTTCAAGCAATTCTCCTGCCTCAGCCTCCTGAGTATCTGGGATTACAGGTGCACCCCACCATGCCTGGCTAATTTTTTGTATTTTTAATTGAGACGGGGTTTTGCCATGTTGGCCAGACTGATTTCAAACTCTTTATTCAGATGATCTGCCTGCCTCAGCCTCCCAAAGTGCTGGGATTACAGACATGAACTACCACACTGGCCTAAAAATTGATTCTGATGATTAATCTGTGAGCAATTTGGCTTCATTAGAAAGTGTGCCTTCATCTGAAACCTTCATTTAAAAGCCTGGGCAACAAAATGAGACTTCATCTCTACACACCTCCTACCTACTTCGGAGGCTGAAGCAGGAAGATGGCTTGAGCCTGGGAATTCGAGCCTGCAGTGCGCTGTGATCCCACCACGATACTCCAGGCTGCATGACAGTAGACCCTGTCTCAAAAAGAAAAAAAACCTTTGTAAAAAATTCTTAAGTGATCTATCATTTTATAAAATTTATTTCTAGCTACATTTTGAAATTGTTAAACCCTGGGTTTAAGTTTTATGGTTTTATGTCTAAATTACCTGAGAACACACTAAGTGTGATGAGCTTCATTTTATGGGCCTTTTGGATGACTATATAATATTCTGATGAAAGCCAAGACAGACCCTCACCATAAAAGTAGGAGCTCAAGAAAGAGGAGTAGCAAAAGTAAAAGCTGGGGTGAGAAGAAATTTTTAGTCAAATACAAAATTTTACATATTCTGTTTCTTTTTTTTCCCCTTAGCTGAAGATGATGGTAAAGTATAAATGAATTTATTTTTCTTTGCAAACTAAGTATCTGCTTGAGACACATCTATATCACCATTGTCAGCCAAGAAAAAAATGGTTCACATGATACCAATCTGTCTGGAAAACCAATCTTCCCTCAGAGGAATGTGGACTCAGTAGCACAGCTTCGGAATGAAGATGACCGTAAGAGATATAAAGAACCTCTAGCAAAAGATGCTTCCCTACGCCTTAAAAAATCCTCAAAAATTCTCCAGCTCTTAGAATCTACAAAATAAACCCTGCCTGTTTCATAGGTCCTAATATTAACAGGGAGTTGTGGATTCTGTTGGGGGGACAGGGCGGGTTGCATAGGAAAAGGGGATTGAAGCATTAGAATTGTCCAAAATCAATAACACCTCCTTTCAGAAATGCTTTGGGAAGAAGCCTGGGAGGTTCCCAGGTTGGTGGGGGTGGGGGGCAGAAAATTCTAGAAGTAGAGGAGATATGAATGGATGGGGCAAGAAGACCACATTAAAATGCCAAGATCTGAAAGAAACCGTGGCATTAATGATGAATTCAGGGTGATTCAGAATGGAAGTAGAGTAGGAGTAGGAGAATGATGAGAGAAGCTGGACTGATCATTAGGTTGTAGAGCAAGACCTTCTCTTACTCCAAGATGTGAAATTTGGACTTTATCTTGGAGATAATAGAGTTAATTAAGCACAGTATGTATTAGCTAGGGTAAAGATTAGTTTCTCGTAACAAAGACATCCAAAGATACAGTAGCTGAATAAGATAGATAATTTTTCTCTCAAAGAAAGTCTAAGTAGGCAGCTCAGAAGTAGTATGGCTGGAGGCAACCTGATGATATTGGGACCCAGACATTCTCCAGTCTTGTTACCCATCATCCCCCAGTTGCTGGTCTCATTCACATAGTTGAAAATCATCATACTTCCTGGGTCCACATCAGCATTATCAAGAAAGGTTCAAGACAAGAGGAAGTCAGGCTCATTCCTTTCAATGACTCTAATCGGAAGTTGTACACATCAACTCCCCTCGTATTCCATTGACTAGAATTTAATAACATGGCCACACCATATGCAAGGAAATCTGGAAAATATAATATTTATTTCAGGTAGCCATATGACTCTTTAAAATTCAGAAATGATATATTTTAAAAATATCATTCTGGCTTTAGTATAAAGAATTGATGGTGAGGGGTGAGGAGGACAAAAAAGGGTTGAGAGGCTGTTATTTTAGTTCTTACAGGAAACTATGGTGTCATGAATTAAGGTAGACCTAGTGGAGTGCTGATGAGGAGCTGTGAATGGATTTTAGAAACACTTGAGAGAATCAAAGGGACATGATTTAGGGTTGGATTTGGAAAGGAGAAGAGAGTAGAAAAGATGATGCCTGTGTTTTTCACTTAGGCAATTTGTACCAGTCCATGAAATAGGAAACACAGGAGGAAGAGCAGGTTTTGGTGCATACAAAGAGGACGATGGATGACGAATTTAGTTTTGGAGCTGAGATGTCTGCGGAACATCCTAGTAGAGATGTCTAGTAAACTCTGGTACATGTGGTTCTGAGCTCAGGACAAAGATTTGGGCGGGAGATAGAGACATTGAAGGCTTATGCATAGAAATGGCATCTGAATCTATAGCAATAAAAAGACAAATCAGAGGAAATGTGTAGTGAGAGTAAAAGCCAAGTACTAAACTGGGGGGAATACCTACATTTAACGGAGCTAGAAAGAGAAGCTAATAAAGAACAGAGAGCAGACTAACCAAAAAGGAAGAAGAAAAACCAAGAGAATTCCACCAGCTCCCAGGAGAGCTTTTCAGGACTGAGGGGATAGGCATTGTGTTGAATTTCGTAGCCTTGAGAATCAAGGGCCACAACATAGCTCTTACTTTAGTAACAAGGAGTTTGGTGATCTCAATGAAAGCAACTTGATGGTGAAATGGAGGCAGAGGCAGATTGCAATGAGTAAAAGAGTAAATGGAAAGTGAGGAAATGATATGGACAATTCTTACTAAAAGCTTGGCGGTTAAAAGGAAGAGAGAAACAAGACTAACTGCAAAGTGAGACTGGGTTGATGGAGCAGTTTTAAATCTCGAAATAAAGAACTTTGTGCTTAGGCCGGGCGCGGTGGCTCACGCCTGTAATCCCAGCACTTTGGGAGGCCGAGGCGGGTGGATCACGAGGTCAAGAGATCGAGACCATCCTGGTCAACATGGTGAAACCCCGTCTCTACTAAA